ACAAACACTCGTGTTCGGAAATTATAAGAAGGATTTTGAGTCCAATACTCCAGTCGTCCATCTTGGTGGACGTGGATATTCTTTGGGTCCAAACCAGGTTTGGTCCACTCCACTCTCCAGTCAGCGGCACTGATGGCAGGTTCAAGGTGACATGGTAGAATGACATCATCACCAGCCAAGGCTACGATTGGTTGATGAGAACAAATCAACTCTGACTGAGCTGCAAGGAAAACTAAACAACAGGAAAGAAACAATAACATAGTTAGTATCTGACTTGCATATCTAAACTTCATATGGCAGCATGAACATAGAGCTCCACAATCTTTCCAACAGAGACTTGCTGGTTTACAATGTACTGCCAGAGAATATAAAAAACAAGGGTTTCTTGTAAAGTCCCTGGTCTTGTGACGCAATGACTTGTTTGAATCATTCGAAGTCTGACTTCACAGAGTGTTGAAAGTGTTGCAGTTACAGGTTTGTACATGATGATTTTTCAGAAGCTGTTTACTGAGTGTTCTGCAGGTAGATTACCTCCAAATGACTGGAGCAGAATAACATAGACAACAATGAGATGGAAAACGATCTCAAGGGACTCCATCATTGCTCGGCATCACAAAATTCAGCTTCCTACATTTCTGAAAACAGAAATAAAAAGTTGTAAAATGGAAGCAAATGTTTATTCAAGTTGTATTTATAAAACAAATAACACACAGGTCAATGGTATGCCTTCATGTGTGGAGGTTTTGACTGACTCTGGATGGACTTCAGAGTAGACATGTTTACTTCTTTCAGTTCATTAATTTAATGTAATACCCCCTGGGAAGTTTTCGATATGGGAAGTTGAGGTTGATAGTGAAACAGTAAACACAACTGTCTGCTGTATGTATGTCTTTTGATAGTCATGAATCCTGAGAGAAATCACATCAACCTACACCTCTCTGAGTCTTTGAGTTGGTATTAGTTTTTACATTTTTTTACCAAAGAGCTTCTTAAAGACCCAATCTATACATTTTTTATACTAAATAAAAAGATTCATGTTTGTACTATCACTAAAGTTTACTTAAAACTGAAAATAAGAATAATGTACAATAAACTGAACTACAGCTTTGTGAAGGATTCATAAAATACATACATACAACAAAATTAAAATAGTGTCCAAAAATGAGTTTGATACGAACCTGCTCGGAGAGAGTGGAAACTCCATCATCAGCGCTGACACAATGAAACCCGACCAAGCTAAAGACTCTGACTCGTATAATGAAGATTTGAGGAAGTTATCATGTGACAAGTTATTTTAAACACTACATTGCTTCAGAATCAGAATCAGGTTTTCAACAAGGAGGTTGCTTTGTTGTTTTGGTGCATATACAATAAACATAGTAAGAAGAAAAGACATACAAACAAAGATTAAACAAGCAAGTACTGCAGGTCAGAAAGCTTAAATATAAATAGAAAAATGTAACAATAAATAACAGTGGATATTTTACCAGCGATAATTGATATTTTATAATAATGATGCATTAAAAACAATTTAACAATATTATTAGTCGACCTCTGATGAATGAAAACGTCATTGTAAACAGTGTCTTCAGAAAGTGATCAGACCCCTTCACTCTCTGCTCATATTATCATGTTGTATATTCTTGAACATAATGACAAAAAAACATATTGAAAATGTATTAAAAATCAAAAACTGAAATATTAGTATTCACACCCTTAAATCTGGACTTTATTGAAGCTCCACTGTCAGCAGCTACAGCTTTGAGTCTTCCAACTCAACAAGCTCCGCTCACCTGGATTTGGCCAGTTTTATCCCAGAGATAAAAGGCCTCATCTACCTCACCAACCCTTATTGATATAAATGTGGTGGGCAAGATAAAAGAAACACATGTCAGAATGATACTACACACTTCAACAGCACCACTAACTGTAGTCTACAAGATAACCATACAGTTGAATCAACATGATGGTGGGAGTTATTGCAAGGCTGTTGTATTAGACTGCTTCAGTTTTAGCTGGCTGTACCTAATAAACTGACAACGAAGTGAAATATGGATTAAAGAAAAGGGGTACTGAAATTCAATCCTGGTAATGACATTGTCTCTGAGAGAAAATAGGGAAGTGAAAAATGGATCAGATGCTTGACTGTGTGACAGACACCATCTAACTAACCCTTATCACTTCTGCTGGGGGGTCCTGAAGCATCAGACTGTGATTGTAAGATTCATGTTTTAAAACTTTTACAAATAAAGTTGACAATACGAGGGAAATCACTTTCTTACTTCATCAGTCCTGACGATCCGACACTCTCAGGGTACGTGTGGTGTTAACACGAATGACTGCAGCAGATTTACTGTTGAAACTCTTGGTAACCTTTGAATCAGAGAGAGGTTCAGAAAACAGCAAATCACAAAACACGTGATCTGGCAGAAATGTTTTGTCACAAGGAAGGAAAACCATCGTGTTGCAGGAGTCAAGAACACAACCAAAAGAGGAAGTCAGATGGCAATCCTCAAAAAAACAGAAGAAGGAAATAGATCAGTCCAATCTTCTTTTACAAAGAGAAAATCCTAAACAAAAATCAACCTCTATCAAAATAATAAAGAAAGGAAAGTGTGGAGGAAACAGGAGCAGCTCAAGATCAAAGGCCTCCACCTCATCTGTCCAACATGGTGCTGGTTCTGGACCGGCTCGGGCATGTATGTGTGAGCAGCAGGGTGAATACTGAAGCCTACAGCAGCAGTCTGTGGCTCATTGGACGACATTTCATCATTCAGCAGGACAACGATCCTGATCATGAGGTCCAAGAGTTTTCCAAGGTGAAGGGAGAGAAACCAGCACTGAACACTTCCTCTTCTCAGAGGAAGTCAACCTCTGAGAGGAAGTGTAAATGATGCAGAAAGTGCAGATAAATGAAGTAAGATCATGGAAGGCAGTAAATAAAATATAAACACACATGCACACAAAAACTTCAAAAAACAATGTTTAGATAGTTTCTCAATACTAAAATCAATAGAACTGGACAAATGAATGATGTAAAAATAGTTTATAATATGATAAAATGCAGTATAATTGTATATGTTTCATCAAAATGTTCATTCAAAAACAGGAAAGCTTCATGAATCATGACATTTAAAAACAACAGTCAGCATGTTTTGTTCTGACACAATGAAATGTTTGCATTTTTATCTTTAGAGAAACAGGGACCTCTAGTGGACGTGTTTGAGCACTAACTCTCTGTGTGTCCTGTCTCCACACATGAACCACACAGGACGACCACAGTTTGTTTATGTGCTGTTTGTGAATGAATGATTTTATGTGGACCCCGCTGTAGAAGAAGAAAATGGGGATCCAAATAAAGAATAACACTGAGGACTGAATCAGTGCTGTTGGTTGCTGCTGTAAGAACAATGATGCGTTCACTTACTGTTGTACAAACTGACATGCATTTGAATACAGATATGATTGATTATCAGTGACCACCAGTCTTCGAACTTTGAACTGAATTAAATTATTTTTATTTTTTTTAAATACAAGTGTGATGTGACAAGGCCTTGTTGGTGATCACATGAGTTCTGCAGGAAGATTCAACCACAGACATTTCATTTGGGGACATTGTTGTTGTTCACAGATACAAGGTGTTTTCCAGAGTTTACTACAGTTCATAGTTTCACAAAGGCTGTAGTTTGTTCAACATCCTGTTAGTTTGATGTGAACCCTGATCACTATATTTACAATCAGATGACTTAGAAATTATACATTTAATTTGCTCACAAATGTTATAAAGAAACTACAGAAAACGTGTATTGTTGCTGCACAGTACAAACTCTGCCTCTTCATATTTGGTGATTATCTGGTCAAATCCCCTGTAGTGAGTTCAGACAGTTGTGTTGATTGTCCTTCTTCATCAGATGTAGATATTTTGGAGCTACGTAGACGGCACAGCAAAAATACAACCAGCAAAAGAATAGAAGGGATCCCAAGCATAAGAATCCCAATAATCACAAGATAATCTTCAGATGGGTCCTTGATGAAACCACCTGAAACGATAGAACAGAGCAGCATGGTGTTTATATAGAAATCTATTTCAGTAAGATGAAGTCAGTATAAAGGTTTTTATAAAGATTTCTACCTGGAACATGAATCTGTGTCTCTCGGCTCTGGTTGATGATCTTCTGTTGGACTCTACAGGTGAAGTTGTTGCTGTGTCTCTTCTCCACAGTCACTCTGCTTCTGACAGTATAGAGGTCATCAGGACCTCTGACTGTCTTTGTTCGTCCAGCAGAGAGCAGCTTTCCCTCACCGTCCAGCCACAACAGCTCAGGCTCTGGATACCAGCCTTTAGACTCACACTGTAACACTAGTGTTCTACTTGTATTTGCAGTAACCTTTATGACAGGTGACGAGACTGAACCTGGAGATAAGAGAGGAGGTTTTGGTCACTTCGAGGTCACTTTGTAACTTTAAGTATCAAATTGTGTTTGTGTTAGTTCAGTTCAGTCGATCAACACAGAGTCTGACTCACCAACACTGAGATGGATGAAAGCTTCTTCCTGAACTGAGTGAATGTAACATCTGTATTTTCCTTCATCAGACAGTTTCACACTGAAGATTTTCATGGAGACGTTTCCTTGTTCCAGTTCATCCACAAACACTCGTGTTCGGAAATTATA